ATAATTTAAAAGTATAAAAGTAGGTATGTACTGCAAACGTATCGTACATATATTTAAAATTTTTCGGGAGAAGCGAAAAATTATTTGGCAATTTACGAGAAAATTATTTACTAAACACATCTTGTTGAGAAGAAGAAAAGACTGTAGGAAACATTGGTCAATATTACTTTTGTAATTTTCTCTTCTTAGTCCTTGAAATACTATTTTGACGGTTTGTTTAACATAAGACTGAATTATTTTGAATTCTGGCACTTTTAACATACATGTGCAATATATTTAGCAAAAAATAAGATGACTGTACAAAATAGAGTTAATAAATAACGCCTTGAGTAAAACTTGGTTCTTATAAGAATCGAAAAAACTAACCTAATCCAACGTTGTTCGTAAATTTCGAACTTTAGTGAGCAATACACCGCAGGAAGAGATATTAGATTTACAAAATTTGTCCTTATTTCTATATATTTTCATCACATTAATCAAATTTGAAAATATTTCGTCTAACACACGTATTCGTAAAGAAATGTTGGAATACTTGGTGAACCATTGTATTTCTGTGAACGAAACGCGAAACCGTAATTAGTTTCGGGTCAGAAAAGGTCAGAGAGGAGCATTAATCGGAACTAAAAGGTTTTTCGAGCCCGCATGATTAGAACGCGACACCGCGATATTTCTTTGGCGACGCATCGCGCATACGATACAAGCTTGCACACACGCGTGGCCACAATCATTTTTCGCACGCCACTCGCACTGGCCTGAATTACACACGCGCGCGTGGCTCCGCGAAACGCCAACGCTGCTTTCACAGCCTTTTTTTTTCCTCTTATGAGCGCAACGCGTGCACCATTCCGCATGCGAATCACGGTCAGCCTCTATTTTCGACGAAAGTGAAAGAATCGAGATCAACGACCCTACCGCTCACGGAGAAATTCGCGAAAGAATATCGACAGTTAAAATCCGCCTTCTACTTGCCAGAATTCAACCAACGAGGGAAAAAAGCACTAGCTTAATCGGGGAACAACATGAACGAGTTTCACGAAGAGAAAGTCTCTGGTACACGAGGATTTCGAGATGTCAGCTGATAGAAACAAAGACTCAGAAAGAGACCCGTAATTGGTCGTTGAGGATAGACCATAATATACAAAACTATATAATGGAGACACACACCAATATAAAGAGGTTAGCTGTGAATCACGCGACGTCAATCATCAAACGCAATTCTTTTTTTCATTTTAATAAGAAATACATTTACCTCTGTTTAGGTATCACGCGGCGTTAGATTCCCACGAAGTATGGTGAAATTTCAGCGGAGTTGCTTGAAAGGTACAAATGTCACCAACTTTGATATATGCACGAAAACGACTATGTTTTGGCAGTGGTTCGCGGCATGTTCTTCCGGCACGAGGTCTGCGACGAGGTTAAATGGACATTGACATGTGCGCGAAAGGAAAACACGACGGCACCCACGCACTACTCGGAGTAAATTGTCAGAAGAACGAGGCCGAACTTTCGAACCAATCCACCGATCATTCCGACCACTACAGGCCAAGTGTAGCACCGCACTGACTGCTCTCGCCGTTCACCAAGGCGATAAACAAACTCGTCGCCTCTCCCTCACGAATCTACCCTCCTTCTCCTATCAAGTCTCTTACTCTCGCTAAACGTTTACTATCCCGCTTCCGCGGACAAACGCCGACTGCCGTGTGCTGCTGAGCGAAATTTCGGTCTTTCTCGCACTGCGGCGTTAGCAATATGGTATGATCTCACTCTCATCACTCTATTTCACTCACTCTAACATTATACATCTCTGTTACTTTCCCTCCCTCTTCGCTCCTGCTCCGTTTAAGGCACAGTGCTGCCACCATGCTTCGCCCCCACTATCGCATCGCATCACAACTTGTCACCTGGTATTCTTGATTTTTTGACATTTTATGAATGCTCGGTTTAAACTGGGTGATACTTGGTAATCGGGAGCGTTTGTAGTTTCGAAGAAACTGGATGTCACTCGCGAAAAGAGCAAATAAGACTCGTTTATGATGACTCCATGACGCGACAACGCAATGTACGACATGTTTTGAGCCACTGACAGTCTGTACTGGAGCAGGAACTGTATGAAGGGTGGTGGTGCCACCCTACTGCAATCAATTGCAACGTGATTTTGTTTATAGAAAAGAAAATCTTTCGTTTTGACAAGTAAAAATACTCGAACTTAATAATATAATCAATATTGTATTTATATACTATAAAGCTATTTACAATTACAATTAAATATTTATATAAATATCTATTTAGTTAAATTACCTACATTATCTTCTGTAGAATATATAAAATATTACAAATGTTATATCTCTTAAGTAAAAACTTATTAGAATATCATTTTTTAACCTTATTTAAACTTAATTTTAAAATTGGAGTACAAATTTCAAATTTTCTAATTTAATCTTTTTTACTTATCTTCTGCAAATACGTAAATAAAATTTCTGAAGATAGACTCAACGTAAGTTCTAGATGTCCCTAGTGTAGCTATTGATTCACGGTCGTATATACAGGTCCCGAAACTCCCGTGGTCAAGAATGTCACAATGATGCGGCGATCTGTGTTTCTCTAATCTGCCACCACTGGCGTTGCTGCAGAATAGTCAAAACAATAAACGACACAAAGCCATAATTCTGTGTCCCCTAAAGTGAACATCAATAAATTTATTTATGAATAAATAATGTATACTTACTTGTAAAGTATTATAAAAATTATGCAAAATGATAAAAAATTCACTTGATTATTTCCACCATGTTTTTACTTTCTTGAATTAGTTTTGGCCAGTCGACATCAGCGCCCCATATGTGGTAGACAATGCACGACCGTAATGCTATGAGTGAACACGTTGATTCTCCATTTGGCCGTTGGTATTGATAGTTCTTCGTGGCGGTAGCATCTCTCTTTCATTTTCTCCATCTTTTCTGGAACGGTATCCATCATGGTACGTATATTTTGATAAAATCTAGAAAAAAATCTAAAAAGGCAGTAGCAATCCGTCACCAAGTACACAAACGAATTATCTAGCAACATCATATAAATTATTTTATACTGAAAAGTTGAAATATTTACAGTTAAAGTGTATTATAATAGATTGTTATCTTTTGTTACAAATTTTGAGGTTATACGAATGTGTTTAGAGTGTTTTCCAATATTTTGTTTTAAATGAGTGCAAGATGGATTAAATAGCATGAAATGGAATATAAATATGATTTTAGAGTCGCGTCAGGACAAAGACGGTCAAAAAGGCCGCGAAGCTAATCATCGAGAAATACTATACTCGATTGACCATGGACTTCCATACAAATAAAAGGATATGCGAAGAAATTGCTATTATTCCCAGCAAATCTTTGCGAAACAAAATCGCTGGGTATGTATTTACAAAAGTGTATGTTTTGTGTTAAAACATTTTTATGCCAAAAACTAAATCATAATTTGTAGGATTTATTATCCTGTATACTGTAGTGTATTTAATTTCTTATTTAAGTCTATTTCAATTTTTTATTGAATTTCTTTATCCTATTATTCCAAATAGATTTGTCACGCACTTGATGAAGCGTCTGAGACACAGTCAAGTACGTGGTATTTCCATCAAACTCCAAGAAGAAGAGAGAGAACGCAGGGACAACTATGTTCCTGAGGTATCTGCATTGGAGCATGATATTATCGAAGTAGATCCAGAAACCAAGGAAATGTTACAAATGCTTGGATTTAACAACATTCCAGGACTTCAACTCACACAATCCCAACTACCACCATATAGCAGACGTTCTTAAATTTATTTGTTTATATTAAATGAGATTGTTAGTATTGCACTTTAAATAAAACTGCAAGCTGACATTCTAAAAATTTTATATTCTCAAACTGATTTTAACGTGTAAACCTGTCATTCTTTCGAGTGTGTACATGTATTGATTTCCTTATGGTAAGTAACAGGCTACTGTAAAATAAAATACATATTGAGAAATATATTAAATTCTACAAGCTAAAATTAATGTAATTGATTATCTGTACTTTGATAGAAGCATATTTCATATCCATTTATAAAGAAAAAATACAATTAATTTTAATGTTAGGTTTCGAAATATATAAATGGTAGAATGTGAAAAGATTAAAGTAAAAGTACGCGTGTGCACAAGTCGACCATTTTAATCGAACTTCGTTCTGTACTGTTATGTACATTATGATTTATAATAGCTTATTATTAAAATTCATTTTTTTGTTTACTTTTTCCAATATTTTAATTAACAACATTATTGAAACATATTAATATCAAATTGCTTCTTACATTATTTTTACACATAAAACGAATATTTCGATCAAAAAGTTTGTCAAATTCATATTAAACAATTTTTTATTTTGCATTAAATTATATATGGTAGAAATAATCGTAACGTTATATTAAGAGTAGCAAAAGTAGTAAAAAATGTTACTATCGCGGAGGTTCAACGGTATCGATTTCCCGCTCCAATTATAATTATATATCAAAGTTATGTACAGTGCATTTAAAGCATATATACATACTCTCAACGACATCAACCATTTTCGCCTTCCCTTGCACGAAGCTCGTCATTTTAATCGCAAACATAGAAGCTGAGTAATCCTATCTCTCGTATCGTATTTATCAGCGATATCGTAGCTCAAATTGCGAAAAGCCAAGGTACCGCATCGAATAAAGTTTATTACTTCGAAGTTTATATAATATTTTGCAAGAGATAACGGGACTTAATATGCACACGACTGCATCGACGCGACAATGAAATGCATCGTCGCCCTTCCAACGGCACCCACGCGGTTGAGCCGGACCTGGACAAGTTGTTCAGAGGCTGCGCGACCTAGCACGATCCAAGGCTAGGTAGCCTAGCACAACCTGGTGAACCAGACGAAGTTAAGAAGAAAGAGGAAGAGAAACGGAGAGAGTAGCTGTAATCGCACGCCTACGAATGTTGAAACTCTCGGGAGCAGGGAGGAGAGACCGTATAACCGGCGAGTCAGTCGACTATTAGTGGTCTGTGACTCTGGAGGTAGCCCGACCACCGCAGAACCGAGCCCGACGCAGCTCGGTTGCGTTCGGTCGGTAGTCGGGGCCAGTCGGGCGCTCCACTGCTCTTTTCGGTCTGGTCGTTTTCCTCAGTCCGTCGTCGTTGCGCATCGGGAACAGTTGCACCCTTTCTTTTTTTCGCTTAAAGACATACAACGAAATAGTCAAGCCAATCTTTTTCGCGCTATGTGACAGATATTACGGGGCACCAAGAGTGTACCCCGCCTTCTCTGAATATCATTCCCATCCTATCCTTCCTTCTCTACCTTGCCACTACACATTCTCCTTTGCCCAAAGAGAGAGAAAGAGCACACGTTGTAAACGCAGGCACGTACGTACGCAGGCACTCGCCGACGAAGGGGCCACGAGGGCCCCGTGGAATCGTGCCTAGGAAAACATGGAGTGTCCACATCTTGCTCAAAGCGTCCAATTCGGCGGTAACGACGTAGAAGCGAATTGTACGAAGGATCTACCGTTCGTCTGTGCAGGTAGGATCTTATAAAGAAACCGTACCGTTATCCTTCTTAGCAGATTGAAAGAAAAAGATGTATTTAGAAAATCGAAACCTAGCCCCCACGAGATCCTTTCTTCTCAAGTTGGATTCTATTTTGCACTCCTTTCTTGCTCGAGCCCGATCTCGATCTTTCCTTCACCTCTATTGTCTCCCATCTCCTTTTCTCTCGTTTCTTTTGCGTTCTTTATCCCCTGTGTTCTCGGTCTTGCTCTTTTTCTCTCCCCCCGCCTCTTTCTTTCTCTTCCTCTTTCTCTCTTTACCTCTCGTGACCGCGGCCCCGGCCGTTCCTCTCGCGGCCTTGAGCCGTCGTAGCCGACAAGATGAAGCGAACCATTTCTCTATTTCCCTATAAAGATATTAATGCATGTTTTTTATGAGAGAGGACACGAAAGTACACGTTTACGTTCGCTTTCTGTATTTCACGGTCGATACACGCGAATATCGATGATACTTATGGACGCACGACTCCTAGTACTATTTGTATGTATTGTGAATTGAACTCCCAGCACGAATATGTATAGTACTTACATCTCTCCTCGATGCACGCGAATGTGTACGTGTCAATACGTATGAATGCGAGACAAACCTATACGCGCGTGTACGGTTGTACGTGAAAGTCCACTCCTCTTCTTCATGTATACATGTATATATGTAATATAGTATCTATGTGTGTGTGTCCTCCGTTCATGGGTGTCTCTCCACGGACCGAACAAGAGCGTCGTGGACGTGCGCGTGTGCATCGTCCTGCTGGGAGTTCTCAGTATGCGGCGCGGTCGTCATTGGAAAATCAATACCAGACGGCACTAATCAGCTGGCCTGAGATCTGTCATTAGAACTCGCCTGATAAACGTGTTCATCGTTTCACCTTCTTCGTTTTTCCTAATTTCTTCCATTTCCGCTTGTCAACTTGCATACATCCACATTCTCAAGAATCATCATCTGAGAGATACATTTGAAAATTAATGAATAAAATAATCTAATGAATACTTCTTCCTTGTTTGAGATTTGAAATTTGTTTTCTCGTCTGATATTTTTATACCTATTCTCTATAGTCATTGCCTTTGATACTATATTTAAAATAAACACAATACTTTTATTGGATACATTTAAATCTCCCTTGCCCTATGTGTTCTCCCCCTTAAGCTAATCTTCGCTGTAGACGGAAAATTTCATAATACAGACTCGATTCGCTCTGTTCGATAATCGATGCTGCACTACGCCGTCTTTTTTCTTTTAGCGACCTCTTACAGTAGAACAGGCAGGAAGAAACGTTTCACCAAGATCCGAGTCATTTAATTGCAACGTATTCTTTCAAGAAAATCTGAAATTTCATTTTCTTGATTTTGATATCCTTGATCTTTCAGGATCGAGAAGAATCTATTGAATTCGCGAAGCATATTTATCTCTTGTCTGAATATCCGAGCGAGAAAGAGGAGAAAGGAGGGAGGGAGAGGGAACAATAATGGAACAAAACAAAACATGCATAGTCAAGGAGAGAGTATTTCAAAGGTGTATTAGCGCGACCGATGAGTCAGACTAGCGATGTTTTTTTTATTATTCAGTTCGGGTTAGGTTGTATTTCGGAGTTTTCCGAATTTGTCAAGATAGTCAACATATACAAATATCATTGAAACGATACTCCCTGTGTCGCGTCGTCGTCTCTCCCGAGAGATCGTTCACGCTCAACGAATCGCAAACATATCCAGGTTGCAAGATCAATTTAAATATCTTGCAAGGAGAGTGACGCTGGTAAAAATTACCAAGCCCGACTGTGGCGCGAGTCACGCAGGAGAAAAATCGTCCCTCGTGGGCTATAAAAGAACCCCATGTTCCACACCTTCCCCTCCCATCCCTCTTCTGCCTCTTTTCCTGCGCTGCAAGCTGGTTCGGGTACGACGTTGCAAAATCGATAACGGCGTCGTTGCTAATCGGATGCCTCGATACGAGTCGTATTGCTCGGGAAACGAATTTTTCCCTCATCGTTCCTTTTTCTTCTCCCGGGATTGCACCGAACCGAAGACTCTGCTGGTGCAGGCGTTTGTCGCCTTTATCTTTATCTGGTTCCGTCGCTTGGACAATGCGTCGACGAAATTCTTCAACGACGCAACACGCAGTAGGCGTGGCGAATCGTATCGTTCGTTACCAACCAGCGAAAAAGAGACGCAACGATATGACAAAAGAGACGGACGAGTAAAAGGATGGATACGTGGCTCGTTAGATGATTGTTGGTTACCCTGCTAGCTTTTTTTCGTGGTTCACGTGATACACCTCTCACACCAATGAAATGGTCAACGATTGGTTGTCTTTCGAGTTTGGGATTTCTCAGACTACCTGTATGCAACTCTATCGACGATTTTTATTTGATTTTGACCTTAACTGCACTGACGTGATCTTCCAAGAATACAGCGTGATGCGCAACGTATTTTTACATCAAATTGAAAATTATTACCCACTTTGAAATATTGAACATTCGATAGACTTGGCTCGATTGGATTATCTTTTTCCATCGATAATGAAACTTGGATTATAATCTAACAAAACTTACGTTGGTCTCTATGATATTTTATTTTAATAATATACACATATAATACCTGATGTTCTAAATTATCATTTGTAGGTTATCAACTCATTTTAAATTTCGATGTAAAACTATATTTGTACATTTGAATTTTATGCACAAAAATATTTTTCTGTTATATAAATATAAGAAAAATTTTGTTCTATCTTAAGATGTATCATTGTATTGTTTGAAATTTATAAAAATACTGAATTCAATAGTTATACAATCTCAAGCAATATTTCTGAACAATCTTGTTCCAATGTATATAACGTGTAATTAAAATTCCTAGTACATTTTACAAAGAAATAATACAATATAATTTGCACAGAGCGTGGGGTTATAATAATTCTTACACGAGATTGCAAAACAAATGGGTGTGTACAGGGATACGTGCTTCTAGAAGATTGGATTTCAGTTGGCCTACCTATGCGATATCTCAATTTTCATGTACTCGTGCTTTTTTACCTTTAGCAATTTTACGTCTTTCTCTTTTATTCTACCGTTGCAAAGTTTATTTAAGTAGCTAAAAATAGTCAGGTATCGAACCAAGCAATCCAAAATAAAAATGATCGAAATCGATCCAATTGCATGGGCGTAGAATTTTCGAATTTTCTTTCGAATTTAGTAATTTCATTATCGTATTTAATTACTGAAATGTATATTCTTGGTATAGGATCAATTAACTTGGCAGACGTCTCCATAGATTTTACTCGCTTTTAAAATCATAGATACGTCATGGTGCTGAAAAAATATACGTATAAGGAAAGGGAAAAAAAGAAATGTGCATGCAAAATCTCAAACTTGATAGCACTGCGAGACATTTTGCGATCGATCGACTGCAAAGGGGGTGTGTCGAACAGCCTTCCTCCCATTCACCCTGGTTTTACGCGATCTCTTGAGAATTACGTAAGCCGAGACGAGCCAAGAAGATAGTACACCGACTTGGGACTTATATTATTTTGTAATGATCGCCTTTTATATTTCCTGAATGCACTAACTTAAAAAAATTCTAGGAATTTTCCAAAAATAGCTGTAGCTAGGGTAAAATCCAAAAATATCGAATTTTGGTAGAAACTCGTTCAAATTTACGAAAATCGGAATTACAATACATATAATGTATGATATTGCCATTATTCTCGGGATCACGTAACTAAGAACAAAACTTAGATTCATAAAGACTAAGATAGTAAGTTGTAACGCGTTACAAATAACACCATTTTTATAGTATGAAAATCGCCATTATTCTAAATATCAGCTAAATAAGAACAAGTCAGAATCAATCGCAAAAAATTGAGTTCAGAATCAATAAAATAAGAAATTCTAATTTTTAAGCTTAGAATCTTCTACAATATTTATACCTCAATTCATACCTTCGGTTTGAAAAAATAAAAGGGTGAGGTCCTAAAAATGAAACATGTATAGAATTCGACCATTTTGAGAACATGGCCTTCAATCTCTGTTACTTGTTAATTTTATATCGTTTGCAGTTTTAACACAGAACGATAACATTTAAACTAGAATGCATAGCAAGGGCAATGTTTTTATCAAGTGCTTTGTTATTGTCGATAGTATGTGGCACTGAGAAAAGTACGTGGCTCTGTCTGTACTGTGGAGCCATTCACTGTGGACGATACGTGGCAGGCCATGCATTACAGCATCACGAAGAAAATAATCAGCACTGTGTTTGTATCGACTGTGAGAACCTGGCAGTATTCTGGTAAGTTAAACCCTTCGCTTTCGCCATTCTTCGCGACACAGATCGACGGTCCGAGCCTTCCTCGCGTCAGTTGATACGATTTTTAATCTTGCCAACATGCCTCTCCCTCTCTATCATTTTGTTTGTTAGCGGCAGCCATCTTTATTAATATTAGCAGCAATATGTTAGCTCGACCGGTACAACAGTCTCAGAAACCATAAATAAATTCTTTCCAAAAACAAATCTTGTCTTTCTCTTTTCCATATTCAATTGTTGGTTTATAAACCAAATCTCAAATTTTATAAGTATGTTATTAATATAGACCGCAATACCTCAAATTTGAGGTTTCGTGTACCATAAAGAATGGCTGTATTTAGCCATAACGCGTTAAGTCGTAAGTAGTCATTCATCAAATATTCGATATCAAGAAAATAAAGAATCCACCCACGAACCCTTCAATTAATTAATAGCACGCCGATCCTGACTTGCCAGCACTTACAAAGGCATTCATTTTCAGTTACATGTGTGACGAGTATGTAATTAACGACACGACGAGCGGCCAAATTGAGAAGATACGTCGCGTCACATTTCGCAAAGATGAGCACAAGGAGAATGAAGAGAATTGGAACACGTCGCCGTCTACGACGCCGTCCTCGAGGAGAGAGAACAGTGACGATAACGACGCGGACGCCCTGTGGAAAGCGGAAGTGGTCGTAAGGAACCTCCGACCGAGAACAGCGCGGAAGAGGCTACACTCGTTGGATGGCACAAGCGGGGACAATCGGCCGACGACCAAGCGTAGGAGCTCCAAGATAACCAAAGAGAAGAAGGTCGTCGGCCTGAGAAATCTCGGCAACACCTGTTTCATGAATGTTGTGTTACAATCGTTCAACAACATCAGCCATTTTTGCGAGTATCTCACGCAGATGCCATGCCTAGAGGGCATACCATTCGACGAGCCGCCCACACATAGAGGGCGAATCGTCACGCCCGGTCGAGCAAAAGAGTTTATGAGTGACGCCTTACTCGCCGAAGAGCTCAGGAAGGTACTCCTTGGTTTGAATCTTGGTGGCTCAAATGGTCAAGCCATTTCGCCCGAATGCCTTTTCCTTGTCATCTGGAAAGTCGTACCAAGATTTCGAGGCTACCAACAACAAGACGCTCATGAATTTCTTACCTACATGTTGGACAGACTGCACACCGAGCTCTTGCAATTGTTGCCCAGACTGGGACACGAACCTCTCGGTCTGCGCGGCAAACAGAGCATCGTCACAGCCGTGTTTGGAGGCACCCTTCTTAGCGTGGTAAGTCGTAGGATTGTTCAAGGAGGAAGCTCTGTTTAACCCTCGGTCACCGATGATCAAACGCTTTGCGACTGGATGATGCTGTATCATTCTGATGTATAACATACACTTTATGTATGGATTTCGAAGAAATGTTCTATGATAAATGATTCCAGAGCTATTGTTATTACACGAGGAATTTATTCCACTATATATAAAAGTTCCAAATTTGGTAATACATATTGTACTGTATCGTACTGTTTTAAAGTTTTTCAGAAAAACCAGAGATGATGTATTTAGAAGCTCACAAAAACACATAATGTTGGCAAAAAGAATAGGAAAAAAAGACAGTGATTAAATATTATTATTGTAATTTTGTATTCTTAATTTATCGCTTAATTTATTTTGGTAGTCGAATCTTAAAATATTCTTGTTAAAAACATTTTAATTATGAAAAAAGTGTACACAAAAGAATTTTTTTTAGGAAACTTATTTTATTATCAAATTTAAGAAGGTATAATTCCACTATCTCAAAGCTCTATCAGCATTGTTTATTGCATATAATACCAATGTCTACTTTGGTATTCTACTGGTGCCTACTTTCTATGCATGACACAACTTGTATCAAAATGATCCGGCACTCACCAGGCGAGGGTTAATGCGTTTCCGGTTACATTTTATTATTCCAATACGAAATGACGAGAGGGAGTGCCCTTTCCGAATCAATATTGTTTTGGAGAGTCATTTTATTATTCATTTTCTTCTTGGGAGAAGCGCGGACAAATTATGGATCGCGTTTCCTCGCGCAGGTCCACTGCATGAACTGCCGTACAGATTCCAAGACGCACGAGCCCTTTCAGGATCTTTCACTGGATATACCGGACAGATTGCAGAGACGAACGAAAGAACAGGAAGAAGTATGCAGTCTCACGTACAGCTTAACGAGATTCTTCAAAGTCGAAGAGCTGGCCGATAGCGAACTATACTTTTGTGACAACTGCATGGGGAAACAGAGATCCACCAAGAGGTTCTGGATACACAGGCTGCCTAATGTTAGCATACTTTTATTAACTATTTCATTTAGAAGATATTTAGAAATATTTTTATAGAATATATTTTCGTTTTGTTTCGAAAATATTATAATATATTGAATCTCTTTTCGTTTCATTACTTAATGTACAAATGTATATTTCTATTTTGTATTGATTACATTATTAATTTTTACAGTTTAATACACACTTTATTGTCTGTAATTTCAAAATATAATGATAATCTGGAATTCTCTAAATGAAATACTTTTAGAATATTTATTATAATATTCGTCTCCATATATTAACTTATAAATTTTCTTCGTTTGTAACATATAGTTTAACAATTCTATTTTATTTTAGGTGTTGTGCCTTCACATTAAAAGATTTAGGTGGTGCAATTCCTATCGCTCGAAGGTGGACACACAGGTGGATTTTCCGATGAAATCACTTGATATGTCTGCATTTACGGTGCGTGGTGTGAGTGGAACGAAATTGGGCGCTTCAAATAGTCACTTATATGACTTAGCTGCCGTTATTGTACACCACGGTTCAGGGTATGCTCAAACGTCTTTTTTTATGTTAATTCTACATACAAACTCATTTATTAGATCATCAGAATCAGACTCATTCATAATTTCTTTCAATGAGTCAATGTATACACAATTTTATATTCTGATAAAAAGTTATCGAATTAAATAAAATCTGTAAATTATGGATTCAGAAACATATATCATTATATCCATTTTAAGATGGCAATACACCACAAGCTAAACGTATATTATATTTGTTTGTATAAAGCAAAATTCAGTATGTTTCATCAGTCTTATAAGTATTCCATAATTTTTACATTGTAAAATCAATGTTTTCATCTATTGTATAACAGAGCTATGGTATCTATTTTGAGAATAAATATTGGAATATCCATTTTAGTGCTGGAACTGGACATTATACTGCCTTCGCTGTTCACGACGGACAATGGTTTCACTTTAACGATAGCTCTGTACGACCAGCAACCACGGACGCAGTCGCCAAGTGTAAACCCTATATTCTGTTTTACGTGCGGAAAGAATTCTCCATTCCACCTCCCTTGTGACGTCGTTTCCCCAGTCAGTCCCGTCCTGATGGTGCGAGCTTCAACGACGATGACCATGAACGAATAAATAAGAAGTAAGAGAAATTCGAACAGACGAAGTTGAATGGTGCATATGCTAAAAGGGTCAAATGGAAGAAGTTAGAAGACTTAGACAAGTTTCGCGAAGTTTCTAAAAGAGGAAGGAAGGAAACGCCCGTTTTCGATTTTTTCGTTTAGTACGATTAAATATAGACTTCGGGTATGTTTTGTTAATGATAAGCGATAAACATGGATTTCAATCGACATATTTCTTATAAAAAAATCTCAACATCGTATAGTATCTAGATATTACGACGTTTAGCACGATGTACGAGTATGATATTCGACTCCTATCCTCATAGTCGTTCGAAGCGAAACCAAACTTTCATGTGTTCGTGAATGAGCGACAATTAATTAGTTTTTATTTAATACGTATCGTTTCTATTGATTTCAGTTCCTTTTCTTTTTCACAGTTATTGATTAAACGGTAAATTGACTGATAGACAAAAATAACGTTAGCAATGTATGCTGTGCATATCGATCAGTTGTTTTTGTGTACTCACGTGAACATGTAAGGATATACATTGCGTGAACCGAGAGCTTCCATTCCTTTTTTAGAAACGGCAGAAGGAAGAAAAAACTAAGAACGAAAGAAAGAAACAGCGTACTCTCGAGGCAGATCGCGGAAACGCATTGCCTTTAAAGTTGGTTTCCTTTATGCTCCTTTTCGCCGGTCTCTCTCGGTGGTCGTTGACCACCTCTCTTCATCGAATCGATTAAAGCTCCTCCCGGCCACATAGCGGAATAACGCGTAATGCGTACCTCGTATATATAGTTTTAAATTAAAACGAAAACGACTGGTCTTCTCGGTAGATAGATTTTTTTCTAGGCTTAGAGCGACATCATCGTTATTTCGAGGGAGCTGGTAAGCGAAAATACCATATAGAGCCAACCAACTCTATTACTTCGAAAAACATGTTACCTTCATCCTTGGATACTTAACACATACACATGTGCAGATACGTCATATACCCATGCGTACACACGACAGACCCATACGTACAATTATCATTCGAGCATACACATACGTGACTACCTATACGCGAATCGTTTACATGTGTGTTGACAAAATACACGTATGTAATGCATGTATGTATATAAACACGTTCTCTCTTATTCCCTGCCACTCCTTTTTCCCCACGATTCTCGACGGCTCGACGGCTCTTATGTGATTATTTAAAGACTTATTTTTTCTATAATGGTAACGATAATAACGATAATAAGTTAAAGAAAGCGTAGCGAAAGAACGTTTTATTAAGGCGATAAACTCGATAAACGCGTATCTTCAGCAAAGATTCACTCGTATGCAAAGAAGGGAAAGCAAAAAGAATAAAAAAAGTAAAAAAAAAGATGTAAGTAAGCGTGCAACACTAATATTGAGAATAAATGAGATATGTATGAACGACGTATAAATAAAGAATATGAACGACGATATCATACTCCTATTTGTCATGACTCTTGTTATTGATTTTCGATGTATATTTTGTCTGCAAATATTCACAATTAAAAAAATGTTCATATAAAGATGAGTCAGAAAAGACTCAAATTGTGTAAATGAGTTAATCGAATACATAATTCTGCAAGTATATACATATAGATAAAAAAGTATCTTGAAGTTTGGCTAACAACTAAAACAAAATTTCCAAGTTAATTTGCAATCATTTGTTAATCGTTTATGTATGTACATACATAATTATAAAAATTCAACAAACATTCGTTCTACCGACAGAGCATGGGATACAAGTGTCAACCTTTCTTTTTCTGTAATGACATACGAGATCTCTTCTTTACCGACGATGAATTGTCATTTATTCTTGACCGATATTTGGAAATCGAACCAAATGAGATCGGTATGATCATTCGATAAAATCGTAAACAAAAACATCCGCTCTGCGCATTTCTATTTCTTTTAGTATGTTCAAAATTTCTGTTCTTAATGGATTCGTTGCAAACATTTTCGTCTAACTTCGATGTCATGGTTAGAGAATTTGCACGAAATTTTACCCGATTCTTTCGTTTTTCCATAGAAACATCTTGTTTCTGTTTCTCATTTTTCGGAACAAACGCTTTAGTAGAGGTCTCTGGCGTTTCTTGCGTGCTTTTTACAAAAAATACCGAGTAAGGATTTTTTAATTTATCCTCATCTACTTCATTCGCTATTTCTACATTTTTCTTCCCCTTTTTGTGATTAGAATTCTTGAACGCTTGAACCCACAAATCATCACGATCATAGCGTCTGCAAGGATTTTCAATATTCGACAGTCTATTTTTACTACTTTTCGTATTAGACAAATTTTTGTTATAAATTATTGACGACTTTTCGTCTGGAGAGTCAGGACTAGGTTCAGGATTACATAATTTTCCTTCCAAACTCTCGTATATTTTAAATTCCTGTAAAGATGACGATTCTGAGCAATTCGAGCTCTCGCATTCTTCTCGATAATCTCGATTTTTGTAAATGACGCTAGTTACCTTCGTCGGTCCAATTCCGTTACCGCATCTTTTCGGTTTTTTCCATCTGGCAGAAATTTTTTTTACTAATCCTTTCATCCCAGAAGATTTTAAATAACGATTCTCCAGTTCTGTCTGCACCATATAACTGATGATATCCGCGGGTGAATCCTCCAATGCATAACCGGCCAATCTAGTTATACTCGGGTGCGTGTCTAACCTGTACCTTCTATCTTTCTCGTCTTCGTCCAGGTTGCCTAGTCGACCAGGTACCTTGAACTTCATCGAGGCGATGCTCGTTTTTTCCGAAATCGTGAAAGGAAATCTGTCTTGACTCTTTTTCTTAAACCGTGGTGAGTCTCTTGATTTGTCGTAGCGCAGCTTCGACATCGAGGAAGAACCTGCGAGAGTAAATTGTGGAATTTCATAGAATTTCTCTGTAAAAAATGCGGTAGTATCTGATTGAATAGTTCTTGTTTGTTCGGAGTTTAGATTTCTTCGAATCTGCTCGACTGCTAATTTTTCTAGCGAAAATCGAAGTTTGTCAGTAACTTTTCTTGGTTTGATTAATTCTTCGTCCTCTGCAGACGTGTTCAAGGATTTAAATTTTCCTGAATCTTCGATAAGAAAGTCTTGGCAACCACCGTCTCCTATTTGATTCTCGAATAAATTTGTTTTTCGTTCTTCGGTGATTTTTTCGAAACATTCTCCTTCGTAAGTATTATTTATATGTTTATCTCGGTAACTTTCTAAAGGAAAACTGGTAGATATATTTCTTGGAGAAAAATCATTAAATTCTTTAGATCTCTTTGGCTCTTCGATCTCTTTTACCGATTCTCGAGTATCGTAAGGTGACGAAGTTTCTGATTCATTTTCTGAAGAAATATTTTGCTCGAGAATATTTTGTTCGTTTTCCTTTTCAGACTTTTTTGGATCATCAGAAAAATTCAAGGACCTAAAAGTGTCTATCGTGCAAGGATTAATGGAAGATTCATCACAATCCTGATTCTCTTTTCTCGCAGTTTTTGATTGAGCGTCTTCCAAAATTACATCCGATTTTTCCACACTATCCGACTCATTTTTGATACTCTCCAAATTGAAATATTTTTCTTGTTCCTGTGACTCTATTTTCATAGAAGATTCGGACATAATCGCATAATTTTTCATTAAAGGTGAATTTTCATGTGATGTGGAAACAAATTGAAGATTTTCAAGTGACGAGGAATTGCTTCGAAAAGTTTGTCTACTGGAATTCCTTGGACTAATTATTCCTTTATCACTTTCATTAAATTTGCTTCGAATTGATAGCTTGCTTCTATTACTTGGTATTTTTATAGGTATCTTAGATTTTATACTAAGAGATGATCTGCAAGATATTGTAGATGTTGTTAATCTAGTTCGATTCTCATCGGACTTCGAGAAACGTACATCCATCGATAAATTATTTTCAGAGGATCCTAACCTAAAAACTGTCTTACTATCAGTACAGGATTCGCTGCAAGTATTTCCAAAAACATCTTTCGCTGCTTGTTGTTTCAAGGACGCGTTTGACAACGCTATGATCAAAGCATTTGGATCTACATGTCTCTCTGAACAAACTTTACTGTTTGGTGATGTTGAGTATGATATTTCTCGTGAATTTAAAACTAGAGTTGGTACGTTTATGAATTCTTGGCTATTGACAATTTTGCTTCCATGTGAATTATGTGTTCCTTGGCTATTCGTGATAGATTGTGGTGAACAGCAATTTTCTCCGTTTTGTGACAATTTTGTGAAGTCACTGACGAAAAATTCTCTAAACGAAGAAGCTGTACTTTGATTTTCGCTTGTATTAGATTTAAATGGCGGAGAGGTAATATTTTTTAGCTGAGAAATATTAATTTCATTGTTATCGCAATTTAATATACATTTCGATATTGCTTCCTTGAATCCTTGTCCATTATCAGCATTTGAAGAAAATTCTGAATTGTTATTTGAGCCATTTCCAAATATTGAATTTTGTACAATAGTTTCTGGTGACGTTACATTTTTTGGAGTTGAAGTAATGTTTTTATTTTGAGAAGGATTGAAATACTCATTTGCCACCATTTCTCGTTTGTTTTGATAATGAATCTTCTCACAATTAGTATTTTCATTAGAAATCTTTTCACAGGTAATAAAAGTTTGATTTTCACAAAATTTCAAATTTGGAGAATTAATATATTCCTTTGCGATTATTTCTTGTTCATTTTGATCAAAAATTTTCTCACTACTTTGTTTAGCATTTTCATTATAAATATTTTCTTCAAAATTTACCATATTATTAGATAAAGTTTTAGAAATTTCATTTTCCAGAATGTTTGCGGGCATATTGGGATAAATCGGGGTTTCAAACACAGATCGTGGCGATTGTAAGCATTCTTTACTATAATCACGAATTTCTTGCCTAGCAGAAAAGAACATTGGCTCATCTACAGTTTCTTTCATATTTTGACCACAATCGCTTCTTGAACTGCCCAATTTTCTATAAAAAGACCTTTCACGCGGTGTTTTTCTCAAAGGACCCAAAGATACGAATGTTAAAGGTTCATTTAAACCCTGCTGTAGTGTACTTCCACTGAAATTATTCCTCGATGAATTAACAAGTGTTTGGTTAGACGACCTTTCCGAAGATAAAGATAAATTATCGTTTAGATTTTGTATGTCCAAATTATTAGTACATAAATTTGAAGAAATTTTAGTTTCTCGTAGCGTAAGAGGCATTAAACGATCAATTTTGTGACTAGAACCAATTCTGTCCGACATAACCTCAAAATTGGAATCTGCCTCACTGTCAGAGCTAAGATTCTGCAAAATTACTCCACGACAAGGTCTATATTTATTGAGTAAAGAACTTTTCAACGAAATTGGTGAAATTGGTTGTAACTCAATTCTATTTTTCGGTAAATTTTCGCAAGGTGCATCAGGATAAATATGGTGGAACACGTTTTTTTGAGATCTAGAGGAATCGTTATTTGTCTCTTCCTGTTGATTACGGTATAATCTTGCTGATAATGATGAATGTCGTTGAGTATTATTTGTTAACATTTCGATTTCTACCGATGAATGTTGCACCGAATATTTTTCTGACATTCCTTTAACTTTATTTTCGATCACTGAACTTTTATTTGATGTTTGGCTGTTATTGTTGACTGAATTATCTTGTAAGTCGGAAGTGCTGATTTCACTGGGATTCGAGACAACCATATTTCGATTTGTTTTATTTTCGAGATGAATTTTCGCCCTTCTTCGCACTCGCGCGTCTTTTGCTTTGAAATCGCCAAAAGACCTTTTGGGAAATATTGTTTCCTGTTCTTCTGTTTCTTCGTTTTCTTCAATTCGGTTGCTTGTTTCGTGGAAATAGAAATCTCGTTTTCGGGATAGACGACGGCTGATGTTAATTACGCGACTAGCCAGACGTGTCGCTTCATTTGGTGATGGATGATGCTGAAGACGCTTCTTAAGATCGGATGGCGAACTTCCTCCGGAACTGCTATCGCTTCCTGTGTTCTCTTCGTCTTCGTTAATCGAACGATCTAATCATTAGGATTTCATAAATTTTATTTATTTTAGGTTCGAAGTATAGAAAAATTCTTTACAGTTAAAATCATTTTCATTTAACTTGTATCTTATTATACATTACGTATATTATATATTACGAAAAATTTTCGTAAATCTTGTAAAGACGCTATTTTTAGTCAAATAAAATGCTACAAAATTTTACTCTAAAGTTTGTGCATTCTAGAACAAGATTCTACTAATTATATTATTGATTATATAAATATAAAATGAATATGTCATTATATATACGCAACGAAGACCTTTGGGATGACTCCATATTGTCCAATGACAATATTATGTATTTAAGGGTTAAAAACCAATTTAGTAACTCCTCAAAAAGATTTATTAAATAATTTTTCAATCTGTATTCAATGTTTCAAAGTTTTAAAGTCTCATTTTAGCATTT